AGCTTCCGGAATAATTCAAGGGGCAAGTCGGGTTAACGTGCATCCTGTTGCTAAAGGCGGTCCAAGGCTACCGCATGGAACTAGCAGTCATCAACAATCGCTTGCAGGCAGCGGCAAAGTAGACATACTTTGGCGTGCACCCTACAGCCTAATTACATGCGCCAAGGATTCTACTCAAGCGTGCGGTCTTGAAACATAGATTGGGACAATTCGGGTTTGGAGCTTAGGCTCCATGGCTCGCGGCTGAAGGTTTAGAGTTCAGGGCTCAGGGTTGACAGTTAGCGTTCAGAGTGGATGACTTGTATGCCAGGATCCTACGGTGCAACATCCTGTGAAGCCTGCTCATCATTCGTTTGAAAGGTGCAAAAAGATTTAAAAGCAGCTGGAGAGGTCGTAGTAGGAAGAGTGAGCTGCACCTACTCTCTTCTGGACAGAGAAGAAGAACAGGTCGGCGCAAACAGGTAATACATGTTGGGATACAAAGGGTAGCATTCGTGGGTTTGACTAAGCTTGCCCTCGTGCAATGTAATACATACACCACTCGTCAAATCACGAGACAGACAGCACCAGTTAGAAACCCCAAAACCGCGGATGTAAACTTGACAAACAACGCGACAGCCACCTGATAAACACGTGGCTCCAAGTCTGCTGTTTTGAACAAACTGTACATACAGGCGATCAATCAACCTAGTCGCAAGTTGACACTCCAGAAATGCTTTCGTTGCGTTATCCAATGGAACCAGTAGCCTTCGTCATGCCATGCCTGCAGAACTCTACTTGCATCACGCACTTGTACAAAACCCCAAAGTCAGGTAACATGTTTGTTCCCAAGGTCTTGGTGCGATTCGTAAGCGGCCTACGGGGTCCAACAGTTAAGAAACCAGATAAGAGACTCCGAAAATCACCGAAACATACCAAAACGAGTTGCTCATACATCCTGCGAACGCTACGAAGCGGCCCCAACACCCTGAACCCATAAAACTTGAATCTCGCTCCTGACTCCCCCGAGCGCTACATCACTTTCCGGCATTGAGTTAAGTTGGCTCCCTGATAAAGAGCTGCGACAATTTTTCGAGCGACTTTTTGGCCGTCCTGCTGCCTACATTGGATATCATATACATGAAGCTTATGTTCCTTTTTGTACTATGGAAGAACGTCAAGGTGTCACGAAAAATGTTTGCCTTAACAACCCCATGAGAAGAGCCGAGCTGCGCGGAGCGTTTGCTCTTTGGCTGCGGTTGTACCAGGCTACTGAAGTCCTTCAGCTGATCGGGCCACAGATTGATGCCTTGCATTTGCAAGCGAAAGAGCCATGCAATGTACCGTGTAAGTTCAAGGTGATGCTGTTATCCCAAGATCACACATGCAGGATCTGGGCTTCCCGCTGGTCCTTTTATGTGAAACGCATACGCAAGATTTGGGGCGATCTTGTGATCTAAGGAAACCTATTGAGTTGGGTCAGTTTGTCTAGTAGCTGGGGTATGGGATTCTGCGGGTGTGAGTAAGGAAAGTTTTTGAGAGTATCAAACGGATTCGTCCGCCAAGTTAGGTTCCTTTAACAGCTGGGATGAAGAAACATCTTGGACTGGGAAGTGTGGGGCTTTTCTACGAGTGGCTTGGGGCTTCCTAGCTTTTTCGTGCTTTTCCAGCCCTGACACACTTGCCCAGTAGAGCCATGCTTGAAGAAGCCTGGGTCTGAACCCTTGTTGCGATGCAGCCCATGTCTGATATGCTGCCGGTGTAGGCGCTTACCACAAACAGCCACAGGACCGGGATGAAGAATTGTTTAGGGTGTCATGTGCGCATGGTCAGGCCTACACTCAACTTCCTTCGGGCCTTCGAGAGGGGGTTGGGGTTAGAGGGTTTTTGGGGGTCGTTGATGGCCGACCTGGCCGCGCCTTGCAGTTGTTTATCAGACAACCCCTCCAGCCCGAATTTTAGGGTAGTAGGTGGGTCTGAAAGCACCTCTTCATAGGGAGGGCGTGCTGCCAAACCGACACTGTTGCCTAACCTACAAGGCTGCTAGCAAACCAAGTGCACACTGATGACGATCATGTGAGCACTAGAAGGGTATGATGGCCTCTGCTTTGTTCTTGATGCAGGCTGGCAGGTCCGGCCCGCCAGTCAAGGACTAGAAGAAGATCACATGCAGCACACCGGATTACAATATTCACGAACCATGCATGCATGACCTATGCTTATAACTTATAAGCACAGAGCACGTGACAGCCTAGTAGAATCGTACAAGTCAGAGCGGTCTACCCTTCCAGGCAGAAGGGCCTGAGAACTTTAAGGACGAGTGTGCCGGAGACGGAGACTTCGTGAAAAAAGAAGACAAGGTTGAAACACATTGGAAACAGACAGCTGAACCAACAAAGTCGTGGAGCCTTGAAGATCGCTTACAATGGATGAGGGTTTGATGCGCTCCTCTTTGATCGGTTCCTGCTGGCAGTGCTGAGCGCTGCTTCGGGTCTCTCAGATCACAGGTTGGGCTTTCAGGACTGAGATTGATTGATCTTAGGCTTAAGCGAATCTAGTTCGATGTTTAGCCGCGTAGTCTTCAGGGCATGTCCACAATAGTGCCGACCGAATAGTAGTCTCAAACACGGATAGTTCAAGTTGTCATCCTATGAAAGTTTTGAACTGATGGAGAAGACGCTACAAAGTTGCCGCATCAACCATGAAGCGGCCCGTCCTCAGCCAGCAGTGGCGCTGGCCAGCTCATGGCTTCCGCGCGCTTGGGCGGAACCTACGCCGCAAGAAGTTACCTTCAAAGACAGGCTCAGGGCCCTTTGGACCCGGCCGGTGAACTTGCTAAAGATCTGCCCCCGTAACGTCACAAAGCAACAAATGTGCAGCTAGAACTTCAAACCTGGGTGGTGTCTGTCATGCAGTACGCTTACTGCCATTGTTCGTGCATGCCTGGCATTGCCATCTTTGAAGAGACACACCGTGTTCGCGCTAAGTGTTTTGTACTTGGGCCGGCCTACCTTCAAAGAAGGCCATGTGAATGAAAGGGCCAATCGGTCAAGAATCTTCCGGCAAAGCCCCCCCACAAGGATCTGCATGATGCAGGCACGTTGCGGGTAAGTACCCTTGTACAGCCCCTGAGCGTCTGTCTCCTATGTGAGCAATCAAGTAGCACAAGCCCATCGAATCAGTCTCACTTAAGACCGGTCTGAAAAAAAAGGCTGATATCAACATGAAGGTGCTCGTGCCCTAGTCATCTGCCTGGTCTCAGGCCCCTGATGAACGACGATAATCTGTATCTCACTATCTCCATTTAAGTCACTGTAGAAGTCAAAACGCAGCTGGTCCAATTTGCATTTTGTGACACTCCCCCTGAAGGTCCCTTGTCAGATGCGAGGCGGCTGGAGCCGTTTAGATTTTCAAGTCCATACCTACCGCAGCGCATGAGCGTTCCGTCGGATAGGTTATAGATATCAAGGTGTTGAAATGGGTACTGAATCCCTGCTAGGGCAGAACAGCATTGTGCATTTTCGATCATTGTGGGACATGGTGTCCTCAGCGAGCGCAGTCTTTTGGGCCTCGGGTTCCTAAACGACAATTGAGAAAGAAAATGCCATGTTGAGAATTCACTTCCGTACAAAAACAGAGCTGGCTAATGTATGCTGCGCATGCTTGGTGATTGCACTCGGCCTTGTTTGCTCTCCAAATCCTTCCTGTTTCCGCCATAAACAACAACGCAAACAAACAATGACACGCAAGTGTAGGTTCAGAGGGGTGAAAAGGTTGGGTCACAAAACTTGTCCCGCGCATGCGACGGGAACCTGGCCACGCATGCTGGCTGTATGAAGCAGCGCTGCAGGAAGACCGGGCAGGTCACAGACTCGGAGACTTGCCCAAACTTGATACTTGTAATTCAGGCGACGGGTAGAGCCCGCTGGAACTGCGTGAGGAACTGAAGCCTTGCTTACTTGCTTCCTGTTTTAACCTTGGACCGGCTGCCTTACAAAAAGCAGGATAATGCGATGTGCGGTGCAGAGAATTAAAGTCACATGCCTTGCGCAGTTAGCAGCTGGAACTTCGCATGACCTAAACTTTGACCGCTGACAACAGGTGATGCAAGTTTGTACCTATACCCCTGAACCAGAAGCTGAGCCTCGTGGCAACCAATGATTTCAACGATTTAAACAAATCGATAGATCAAACATGGGGGGCCTAGGTACCACTTCAACTCCGGGATGTTTATTGCGGTCCCTCCCATCCTTCCCATGAAAATTCTGATGCTGCGAAATGCATCTTCAGCGCGCCTTTGCCGATCTCGTTGCTGGGAGGCGTTGTCTACCAACAAGCTGCCAACATCAGAGACCCTAATCGCGACGCAGCGAGGTTGCGGAGTTTTGCTGTTGCGCACTTGCCCACACAAACATCCAACTACAATCGCTCAACACGGGCCAGTCTTGATGTCCAAGACCGTAAAACAAGTGAGTCATCTTCCGCCTCCGGCTTGGGAAATAGGGGTTTTGGAAGCAAACTGCTGGCATGAGGGAAGTGAAGGCGAGGCCCTTCACGGAAGGCTGCAGCGGCTGCTGCGCACCACCTCTTTCTGGAGTCCCAAAATGGGCTTGGGCAGAAGCACCCAACCACGACTTTGGCGATGGTTGAAGAACCCGGTTGGCCTGGGCTCGTTTAATTAGCCTCAACGCCTGGGACACTTGCTCACCAAAGCGCTGGTTTATGATCATGCCCCAAGTTTGCACGATCGCGAATTAGTGTGGGCAACCCAGCCACGCCACCATGTTGAAAGATGGACAGGCTACAAGTGGATCATCCTCTCGAACCACATGGGGTCTCACGTTCTTGCCTTTAGGGAAACAAGCTTGCTTGGGATGACCCAGAACAGTGCAGACGCCTGGCTTGCAGCGGGAGCTGGCTTAACGAAAAAGGCACTGGCCCAGAGAACACAAGCGAAGCAAGCAGACAGCAACGAATCCTCCAAATTTTGTTCTGCACCGCAAGTAGCTGGTCAGCGCACCTCATCCGCCTGCGAACAGGGCTCAGTCAGTCAGTCAGTGTGAACAGCTCTGGTAGCAAGGCATCAACGGCAGGCCACAGAAGACTGTAGTCACAGTAGTCCCCCGTAATATGTCAGTTCCCAAGGCAGGAAGCTCATAACTCCGTGATGTCCCTTCAACCTCTGTACTTAAGACGGATACTAGCCTATGAGATGCATTCCCTCACAGGGACGGTTGCGCTGAAGCCAACGCTGTGAGGGGGTACTCTTGTTGAGTATCGCATGTTTGTGGGTGATGTAATACCCACACCTTGCTCGCATGTCCACCTAGGATGTGTAAGCTATGTCCAAGGCTCGCACCAAAGAACTTCGGACAAAGCTCCGGAAGCCAAGCCGGGTTGACCTCTCCAAGTTCAGCATCTGAAGATGCAGCGGCCAGCACTGGCATGTAGCTTCGAAACATCCATGGATCCCTGAAGGCATGCCCTGAATGCCGTGGCTGTTCTGTTCCTACTAGGATACCTACCCATAAAGGGTTAGCAGATCGCGGAATAAGGCTATGCAGCTGATGTGCCATGAGCGCCTGAGCAAGTCAAGATACTATCTTCTTCTCGGAAGTAATAATGCGAAGGGAAGAATGGCACTGGTTCGAGATTCGAGATGCCCGGAATGATCTTGTGAAACTCCAGGTCAAGCAGCAAGCCGGCCGTTTTTGTAAGCGCTGGGAACAGACTGCACCAAACGGGTATTTCTCAAAACAAGGGCCCCCCAGTGCACCCACCAAAGCCATGTAACTCCTCCTTATCGGAGTGACCCTATGATTTTGAGAAACCTCCATGTATCTTGAACACATGCAGCCGCTTCAAGCCCTGGCGTCTTCGCATGGCTGTCAGCGGCTTGACTATACAGGACCGGTGGCGGATCGAAAATTTGCAGCTTGCGTATCACAGACAATGTGCTACGAATCCCGGGAAGCCTTAAAGTTCAACTCTCCCATGTAAATATGCTCCTGGTTCAGGTACTCCACTTTGTGCATGGGCACCGTGGGTGCCTCAGAGAAGGTGAGTTGTCCCAGGCTGGCAAACAGGAAACGGTCATCGTCAGTTGCATCGACACGGTCCAACCGTTCGAGCAGCATACCGCCAACCATTCCTGGCTCACATTTGGAGGCGTCTCAAAACTACCGTCTTTTTAGATGTTAAGGAACCTCAAAATATCTATTCTAACAGCGGCTTCGAGTGTTTCTTCACATTGCAAAGAACGTGTATCAATTGACCAGGATTCCCACCAGATCAGTGTCTGTGGTGAAAACCCAGGAGTATTTGTACTCCTCACCAGGCTCCAACACAAACTCTGCGGGGCCATAAGTGGGCCGCCTCAATGGAAACGTCTTCCCGCAGGAGAAGCGCAGGGCATAAAACCTTGGCACTTCAGGGCGCCATCTCGAAATCCAATTGTCCATGCTCATTGAAGCTCTAAGTAGGCTGACAGAATCAGCCCTCAAGGGGCCCTCAGAACTGGAGACCCCCACGTATAAAGCCAAGACTAAGCCCTAAGCCTTCATTCTTCATCTCTACATCCAATAACTTCCACATTTTTAGAATCTCACAAAGCCCTGCAAGCCCCATATGAACCCTCTACAAACTCCTCTGCAGAAGACTATATCCTCAACCCTGAACCCCCAAACCCTAATACGCTAAATCCTATACCCTAAACCCCAACCCCCTGTACCCTACAGGGTCCCAGGTACCGGGACAGGCTGCGGACCTGTCGTGTGCCCAGGGCCTTGTTTCTCACCCAGGCGCGGAAGAAGTAGGTGTTGGCACCTGGGAAGGGATAAACTGGTACTGGTAATGCGGGTAATAGGGGGGACTTGGAGGAATAGGATAAAAAAAACTGTGGTAATGGTAATAGGGGCAATAGGGGTCATACGGGAGAAGGATGAGAAGTGCTGTTGTCACTCCTCGCTATGGCTGCTGCGACAATGGGATGAAAGTGACTGCAACAGCAAGAGTCTGGGTTGCTGTTCAGGAACTTAAGTTAGTGACCATAGTTGGTATACATAGTAAATCATAGGGTTTATAGTAACTTAGATTCAATTCCTGAGATCCCTATATTCCCCCAGTTTCCATTTCATGTTCCATTTTCTTTTCAATTAGATTCTCTATTATAGACAGCAACCCAGGAGTTCTAGTACTTCTTTCATCTCCTTTTGTGTTACAGTAGCTCGACTAGCACCAACAGCAGCAATGAAACGCTAGCATTAGATTGATTAACCACACAGTACGGATGCAAAGTCTTTGCTTGCCCGGGCTAGCTGCAAAAGAAAGGCTGGACTTCTTGTTGCTCTATACAGGGAGACTGTAGTTTACGAGTCCTTTTGTGAGCCGCGCCTGCGGCTTTGTTGTTGCCCACGTTTACGCGATGCACATCCCAGTTCAGATGGACGCCATCCGGATTTTCCTCACGCCATGAAATTACAGATACAACAGTGAGCGCAGTTCTAAGCCGTCCAACAAAAGATCAACATCTACAAATCATCCCACACAACCGCTGAATTGTCTCTGATGACCAGCTTTACACGCTCAAAAAGAATTCCTCACCGAACACCCTGAAATGTTGACCGCATGTCACTTCGATACACTCGCCAGCCTGAAAATGTATGTCATGCCTAAATCACCCGTGCAACATGAACCCTAAACCCTATAACATTCTACTCACTACAAGGTAAAACATGAGCCATAGTCTCAACTCCTAGTATCCCCCTTAATAGGCCCTATGATACTCCCCTATATACTATATAACCCCGTTTTTGGAGTTCAGACCCTAAACCCTGCATAATCCCCTGAATAACGCCCCTTTTAAGGAGCTTAGACCCTAAAGCCTAAACCCTATATAGTCCCCTTTTATAGACCCCCATTTAAGGAGTTTAGACCCTAAAAAACCTAAACCTATATAATCCCCTATATAACCTCCCTTTTAAAAAGTTTAGACTAGAGCAAAAGATGGCCAGGTCTCAGCAGGCCAAAAGGCGTCCCCAGTGAGGGACTCAAGGGCTGTCTTCACGCGCGGGCCGAGGTACTCCTGGGCTGTGCTCAGCTTGAGATTACTGTAGTACTAGTATTACAATTATTCCTATTGTTGCTATTATTACTAGTATTACTATTACTATGATTACTTTTATTACTAGTATGATTGCGTTTACTATTTTTACTACTGCGACTATGATTAGTAGTACTATGAAATTAATGTGTTTGCGCTGGGGTTTGGCAAGTAACAGTGCAGGGGCCAGGAGTCAGGCTTTGCGGGGCTCATGGACATGGATCAGGATTCGGGTTCACGCTAAGGGAACTGCCCATCCGATAGTCCTGACGCCGACCCCTGCCATTCACCTCCACGATCTTGGGCTAGCGCAGGCATGTCGTTTGTGGGTTCTTTGGTGTTAGTAACGGACTCTAGGAATTGCGCTGAGAACTGCTGGTGTGTCTCGTACGAGTGATCGCGCCTTTGATAGCAGCAAATACAGAATGCTTGTAAGAACAAGAACCAAGAGAAAATGCAAGCAGTTAACGGGAAAACATTTAGGGAAATCTGGGTTTCAATTCCTAAGCCCTATACAACCACATCTAAGTCTTGAAATACAGCATACTTGGTGGTATATCAGGGTGAACTCTGGTCTTTCGGCTCATCTTAGAAGGCTTTTGGGCCCAAAGACCATACTAAATAAGCCTCTTGGGCTATTTTGAACCTTAGGGTTCAGGGAAACCCTAAACCCCTAAACCCTAAACCCTAAACCCCATAAACCCCTACACCCCTAAACCCTAAACCCTAAACAATCCAGGGCTCATCTACGTACTTTTCCCGCTCCAAGCCATCAAGCGCCTTTCGAGGCCCCTGCATGAAAGGATGAACCTTCAGGGCTTTCCTGAGCTGGGATTCAAATTGGGTGGTTGTTAAAAGGGTTTAGGGTTTAGGGT